GTCCGGGGAAGATATAGATCTTGCGATCTTTTTTTTCTCGCAGGTGCAAAGGGTCAAGGAAATGAGAAGGCATTGGCATGTCCAGACGGGATAAAATTTTAGAAAGAAATGGGTGAATTTCAATGTTATCGTCGATATGGACGGGAATTAGCAATGGACACAACGGAATATTCTCGCGAGAGGCGTTTATACGCAGATTACTTGACTTATAGCCGATTATTAGCACAATTCCGATCGAGTATCCTATTTTTGAATACGCAAGAAACTATTTCTCATTTGCAAGCGGAGTGCACTACAAAAGAAAGTTTGTATTCTTCAAACAGAAAAGGAAAAAAGAGTGATATACAGTTCTGGGCATACTTCGCGCAAATTTGTTCAACCAAAAGAGCAAAGGCAACAAAAAAAATAATGAGTAAAGAAAATACAAGAAGACTAAGGTAAGACATACAAAGCACACAAACTTTTTGGTCATTAAAAGTGAACTTGTAAGAATCAATAAACAGTCTGTGCATCGTTTCCAGTTTCAATTATATTTCTTTTATTTGAATTCATCATCAATAAATTTCACGTGACCCGAACTCAGTGCAAGTCATCGTAGTACATCACAAATAGGTATTGTTATGATTACTAATTATCATCGTTATTGTATGTTACCAAATATTATAATAAGTGTTACCGTAAGATCAATCGTAATTAGTTAATAAATCGATCATATATTTCCGACTTCTATCTGCAATATTTAATTAAACGACATTACATTGTGTATATCCTTACTCTTTTCATAAACGTTTCCTTTACTTAATCATAAATATGTGAAATCGATCATATATTTATCTCGGATGGGGAATAGAGAGGGTGCTATCGTTCTTACTATGGTGATGAAAGATGAAAGGAAGGAGAGGGTAAAATGGTGTATGATGTGTATAATTATAAAACTGATAAAAAGATCTCGTATTGCTAATTCGCGCCGAAATAATTTTTTTTATATTTCGCCCAGGCTGGAAATTCTGATGCGAGCGCAAAATTAATTTTCACCTAGTTGAAGAGCGATCGGGTCGAGCTTGCAATATCGATCGCTTAAAATCGATATATTTAGAAAAAGAACACCATTGCATAATATACATATATAGTGTCTTTGTTAAATGCAATACGAAAAAATCGCGATCTGTTGCAATAAATTGAAATAAAGATAGCAAGTTACATTTTCCGTCGATTTTATGCTCTACCAGTTTCTGCGCGATACAAAATACAATTAATTAATTAATTAATTTGTTAACCTACCTACTATGTACACATATATCACTATGTGCGTATGCATGGATGGACCGGCGCGTGTAAGCGTCATGTATCTGTATATGATTCTGCATACGTACATATATTTAGATTTTCGAACGCTATGAAACGTTCTGCATTGCAAAGTCGTTTTACTACATAAGTGCAATAACTCGCAAGAAATCTGCGAGATCTCCCGTTCATTGATCCTCTCCATTAATGTAACCAAGTTGTGATGATAAGAATTATTATCGGAATAATAATCACATACACAGACACGACGTACAAGCACGTAAATAATAAAACCAAACCGAATTGAATCGACATGGCTGTACATTCGGTATTTTCGATTTTTCTTTCCTATGTTCTCTTTTTTAACGATTGCGAATTCTTTAAATTTTTCAATGCGCCGTGATTGCCATCCTTTGTTGCTTTCGACTATGTGGATGTTAACAGTAGAATGGCTAAATCTATTTTCAAATAAATTTAAATAGTTTTTAAGGCCGGTATTCATAGTCGATACTCATAGTCGATTTTTATATTTAAGGTCGTTTTAAATACAGTCTTAAGGTGTCATAAGCCAATCACAGAGTAGTGTCAGCATTTTAAAACATTACTTAAAATGGTCTTAAACTTCTATTCAAAATTGATATTCTAAACAGACTTAGAGTTCAGCCGTTCTAATGTTCGTGATCTTCTCGCATTCAAATTATCTCTAAATATTGAGAAAGACATTTAAATATTTCTTCCTTTACATGCTCGATAATTTTTGATAATATAGTTTATGTAAGTTTTTTTTGAAATTACTTTATAAATTTTTTTAATTCGTTGCTATTTGGTTATACTGGGCATCAAGAATATCGAATCATAACGGAGCTACCATCTCCTCAAAAGCTTTTTATATCTTTTACCGGAATGTAAAATATAAATTTACTTTATTCTTTAATTCAATATTCCCGGTAAGCCGCGCCGTACGACCATGTTGGGAACAAGTATATTAAATCCGAAACATTTTACAACAAGCAGTTCATTATTTGCAAGTTGAATACCAAGAAACACCCCCGCAAACGAATCAGCACGAGTTTTCGCGCCGATATTGCGCTGCTATCTCGATGTTCGTTTCCACGCTTTGCAGAGACTACCTCGCACGAGAGAGGGCTGCCCTGTGAAAACCGACTCGCAAAACTTGTTAATTTCGCGAGTGCCGCCGGGCGAAACGAGAAAAGAGGCGATGACGGCTCCGGGGAAATCTGCGAACTCGCGCATTAGAAAACTCCAGGTGCACGCAGACGCGAAGTTTCACAGGGCGATCTTGTTATTGTTTCTGAAACGTTTCTCGCGCTCTCCAACTGGAGGCTCGCCTACCGAAGGCCGAGGCGATATTGCACGATATCGTATCTCGGATTTCTACCGAGTGCATCTTGCAAAGATTGCACTCTAATTCCGGAAAGCTTCGTCCGTTCTTCCCGAAACACTTACAGAAATACGATATTAATATTATACGCCAACCTACATTTATTCCTAAGTATCTTGTAACATGTATAATCTAAAGGAAATAATTAATTTAAGAAATAGGCATATATTTGATAGAAGTGACAGTGAATTTCAATGTAACCGCCAGAAGCAACTTCCTACGAAATAATCGTGTTGCGAGATAGGCTGCAACGGTGTGAACCGAGACGGAAAATAAGGCGAGTATGGCACATCTTCGTTTGAATCGCTCGATGACGTTTTGAAGATCCGAAAAAAACCAACGATAATGATTTGGGCGTTGAAAATAATTTCGATGATCATTTATCTTATCTTTCGTATAATAAGTATATCTAAAATATCGATAATTGTCGCATGTTATCATTAATATAACGATAAAAAAAAACAGTCTAATTTATTTTATAATTGATCATCGTCAAATACATATAACAAAAATAAAATTTATAATAAAACAGTCTGCAAAAAAATATTAACATTTAACGTAGTTTTTCTTAAAATTTAACATATTAGATAAATATTGATAGTCAATAAGCATTAATAATTGTTTTTATTTTTTTAATCTATAAACGCAATAACAATGGGACTGTAAATTGTCATACCAAACAAATATTTTTTTTTTAGTAAAGAATTAAGTCAAAGATATATAAGGTCAATAATTTCAAAAATACATCGTAATGCAATTATCGTGACAATTTATCGATGTCATAAAATAACATGTAGATGTTATAAAGTCGTATAAACCGAGATACGTTTTAATTTAAAAAATACTTATAAATTGCTAAAATATTTCTGCATAATTTAGAAGTCGGTTGCACATTTAGAAATCTGTCTACTTTTATCAAATCAGCCATATATATTCTATGTAAGTTAATCGTAATTATTCATCACGTTTCATCGTTGCCGTTATAGTTACCTGATTTCAGAATTTACATACTCTTGATACTTTTAGACCTTTGTGTCGCTTGCGATCCATAGGAATCTATTGTATCTCTACGTGCAGTATCTTAAATTAGATTTGCTTTGTCATCACACCTTACTAGATAACGATATATTACTGCTCGTCATTGCATCGTTTCATTTCCTGCCATCATTTCACACTACAAAATATACGCACAAAATCTTTGTCATTCTCGCAATTCGATTTCTCCTCTCTCGCTGTTCGTCACTTTCAGCATCTGCTCTGTTTTTCATAAAATTTACGATTTCTATATTTATCTATTGCAAATTATTCGCCAAAATATCTATTACACGAGATTAATCGCCACCAGTCGCTGTTACGATTGATTCCAAATCGATGTAAATCGCGATCAAGTCGTCATCGAAATCGTATTTGTTCACTAATCACCGACTACAGTTGCGTCTAATCTCGAGACTATCGTCTCTATACCGCTAGTAAGATACATATCTCTTTTCGTGATCGAACACGTGACATTAATTAAATGAGTGTATAGAAATATATAGCGCTTTGTAATTCTAACTAAACACTCTCAAAGTTTCTCCCATTATAATCTTCGTAATGTTTGTCATATGTTCTCAAAACGAATGTCCGATTTCCAGCCCAGGATCCACCATTACTATCGATCGCTGTCTCGAACGTAAGCCATTCGGCTCGAGTAATCAGATCGCCTTATGGATCCGCGCGGCGTAAATTACTGTAATTAGCAACGCATGTCTATATAACCCGCCTGCGAAATCAGGATATTCTCGGTGCCCGCTGCAATTTCATCCGTTGTCATCGTTACGCCGTAATCACCACGGGTGTACCGTTACGCCCTGGCTGATTAATCCACCCGACGCGTTGGTTAATGAAAGAACGAAAAGAAGTGACGCGTTGGCGCGGCGTCGATCTACCTCGTCGAACAATCGAACGTCATCGACACTCGGTGTGTCGAGTCGAGTTTAAAAGTCTATACGTTGGAGCCTCTCTAATAATACGCGTGAACGTAAATGAGATTGTGAATGGGATGATGATGGGCATGGGGATTGTGCAGAGGGGTGCACAGGGACGTCGTTGTAATGGTGGTGGGGGATGGTGGATGATTGACAGATTGCATCGTGGATACGGGCGACACCTGATTGGGGGGACCGGCCGGCACTTGGTACACGGTACTGGGCGCGGCCATCGGGCACCTTGAGGCCCCGGCTGCGCCGTGTTGGGCCCCATGCTGTTGTTGTTGTTGTTGTTGTTGCTGTTGTTGTTGTTGTTGTTGTTGAATGTAGTTTGGTGGTAGACATACCTCGAGGCGGTCGGTACGTGGCATCTTCTGCGGCATCGCTACTGTCTGCGGTACCACGCCGAGCGGACTGCCGACGCCCGTTGGGTCAGCCGGGCCCATTATCGCCGGCATTATCGGGCTGGGCGCGAAGTACGGGCTGTACGTATTGCTAACCTGCGGCATACCGGTCAGGTACGGATTCGTCGCCTGCGAAAACACACCCGGAAGATATCCAGGTAACATGGATTAGAACACACCTGTCCCTGCCTTCGCCCCACGCGTTTTCGATTGTACACGTCGCGACGCGCGCGATTTCGGGACCATTGAAACGCGTGCTTTATACCTAAATATTTGTATATACGGAGTATTGATATTAGTGGCCAGTTAAAACACATGATGTCTCTTTATAAAGCGAGTTGATTTGATTAAAAATTGCTTTTTTGTGGATGCAATCGTATTTTCAAATTATTTACTTCATAAAATTAATAATATAAAGGTAGGAATATAAATTTGAATACAAATTGCATGGAAAAAAAAAACTTTAACTCAGCAATTCCTAAATATTCTTAAGAAAGAAGTTACATAAATATTACAAACTATTACATCACATAACGTCAGAGAAGATTAAAATGCATCTAATCAATAAATAACTATTTATATATTTGACAAGAATAAAATCCGAACTTTTATTCTACAATTATAATGTATAACATATTATAAATATGTTGATGAAAATACATTTGTTCCACAATTTCAATAATAATTATTACAATTGAATATACAAAAATGTTTTCTGTAAATAATTTAAGAATGAGGAACTGTTTCCAAACAAAGATTTTCTTACGAATCAATTCTTACGAATCATTCTTACTCATTTCTAATTAAGCAGTTTCTTCAACAAGAAGTTAACGTTTTCCCGTTTGTGCCATCAATTATCAAATACTCTGTCTATGCAATCTACTATTTCTGAATGTCCGTGTAAATTTTGCCTCAAGGTGCGTTAAAGCTTTGCGAGCAATGCTCTCCGGTGTTTATCAACTTTAAGGCGTGCAATATACATCGCTTGGTTTACAAACCATCATCATACTCGCTTCAATTTTGGATAAATAAGCAACATCATTAATATCTGATGTAATAACAACGTAATGAAGGAAAATTATATATTAATATATTGAGAAAAAATTGATACACAGCTATGTTAAGCTGTTAAACTATTAATATTTATCCGCAAAACTCTAGGAATTTCGAATAAATAACATACACAAAAATATATAATAATAGCAAAATATGTAGATGGCAATTAAATTCAATGTTCGGATTATTTTATAAATATGAAATATAAAAATTATACATTTTGTCCTAATTCATTTTGAACAATTTAACTAAATAAAATTATTATTTAATTAATTAAATATCCATTTAAATAATTAAATATTCTTCAAAGATACCAGAAGATTTGCGAATGTTTTCATCTATTGCTATAATGCCAATATTTCGTGAATCTTATCGTTCACTTTATCAAGGCGAGGAGCGCACTGATATTAAAAATATATGAATTAAATATTCTACATTTTTCCAAAATTTGTTAAAAACAACGTTAAATTAAAATACTACAAAATTATTATAGAATACTATATATATTTAAAATTATATTTTATTTGTAATTATCATTTATATCTCAACATTATTATCAACATCAAAATTCGATAAATAAAAATATTGGTAGGGACTTTTAAAAAAGTGACTCTTAAAAAAATTCTACTGCAAGCGTGATATTGTATACCAAGAAGGGTTAATTCGGGGCAGTAAATCTGAAAAACGTGCTAACGACAAAAATTTGCAAAAAAAAAAAGACGTCTCGTTTACGGATCTCGCAAAGCCTTAATCGTCCATTTTCTCTTCTCTCGTGCCCTCCCCTTTACTTTTAACGACAAGCGTACGTTCCCACACGAAGCGTTTGGTTTTGCAGCGAGAGCTGGCTCCCAGAAGCGAAGGCAGGTAATTTCAAGCGCATCCGAACGAGCAGAATACTCGTTCCTTCTTCTCAAAAGCCTCTGATACCCTGGGAGCTTTCGTCGTTGTAAAAAAAGCTTTCGGAAACGCGGCCAGGTAATTGTTGAAAAATATTAGCTGAGCTATTATATGATCAGACGTCAGCTCTCTAATTTTTCAGAGTACATCAGGAAATAAAAATTTTATTGCTAATACCGAATTGAAATATTGTAAAATCGATAATATTTTCAAGACTACCCTGCCTCGCATCCTCTTTCTTCGTTTCTTTGACTATCATAAGTTTCATTCTCATTATATTTCAAAACTCTAACAATTTTTATATTTAAATATTTACTGTTACAATGTTAAACATAAAATATAAAATATTTCAAAGTGAAAGAGAAGAAACATTCGTCGTTTTCAGAGCCAAAGAACGCATAAATTTTATTTAGCCGCAATACTTCATGCTCCTCTCTTCTACAGGAAAACTTTACGAAAACATATACAAACAAATTTTCTTTCCTCAATAAACAAACAAAACAATTCGTAAAGCATGCAAATAAATTATTGACTTACTATGCGGCGCGCTCTTAAAATAAAAGTTTAAGCTTTCGTACGAACGCTTACTAATTACAGGCGCATCGCTTGAATAGCTACAGTGGATGTAAACTTATAAAAGTAATTCATTTGGCATAAACATATCGCAAATTGAAAATAAATACAGATTGTCATGTTTTCCTTTTACAAACTCATAAATGATCTTTACATCCACCGCTAGCCAGCGTGGCATTAAATTAACTAAAAATTAGTGGAAGCCAACCAAAACCAGGAGTTACCATAAAGGCGTGGGTAGCGAGAAGTTGCTGCTGGATTTGCTGTTGAAGGTGATGGTGTGGTGCCGGAGGTGCTGGTGCCTCCTGTTCACCAATGACGTAATTGGAGAACACACCAACAATCAACCACAACCACGTGAGCCACAGCGGCAAACATAGGGGACAGACAGGCAGTCATAGTATAGGGTTTAATGTCACGTAGCAACGAATATGAATGTATGTCATGAGTAAACAAAAAGAACAAGGAGGGCAAACGTTAATAACGAGAGATTTTTTTATTATTTCTTTAAAAATAAAATAATCTCGTGTATCGGTCGTCTTAGAGATGCACGTGAAACAGGGGAGTTCAGAAAAAAAAAACGCATATAAATTTCCTCAATCGTCGAAGGTTTATTCGAGTCAATCAAAATTATCCGAATGTCGTATCAACAACGCATGCGATGTTGCGTGAAATTTTAACGAGTTAACGAAACTTTTCCGCGTCTAAACGCTATTCTATCGTTTGGAAATTCGATATTGCACGATATTGCATTTCCCGTAATTAACGAGCCTCCCCCGTTAAATGATAAATACGAACAATACGAGAAATATTCGCGATGCGAATCTAATATGTCCACATCAAGGACTCTTAACTTGTGTTTCATGCAAATTTAAAAAAATACTTGATTTTGCAAGTTATTTATAAAGTTCTTGAATCAAAAATATATTTAAATATCTTGAATACATCATGTACTTGTAATACAAGAATAATTAAAATTCACGACTTGAGAATAATAATAAGAACAAAAATCACAAGTGTCATCATAATTTGAAAAAAAGCTGTAATAAAAAAAATAATAAGATTAAGAATATCTTACCGATCATATCAAAGAGATTCGATTCTGTAAATTGACTGTCTATCAAAACATGTGGATAAGTCAGGTTTTACTCTAGGAAGTAAGGATGACACTGACCAAGAACATGCGACGTGCTAAACTTTAATTCTTAAAAACTTTGTCTCTCGGTGCAATGTCCGTAAAGGGAACGCATGTAAATATGGACGGCGAAGTGCTGCGTTTATAATGACTCGAGCATTATTGGAAAAGTTTGTAAAGCGTTTTAATTTAAGATAATATATGAAATTGCGTACGCAAACATAGCGTCTACAGTAACAGCGTTTAGCTTCCTTGATACGATAGTAACGTGATAAGAAAGCTTATTATACACTACGCCGTCAATAATCTACGCAGCGTTGCCTATCGAATAAAATAATCTAGTAACCCTCGACTAAACACAGACAAAATCCAGATATTACGGTGTGGTAAAAGAAAGTGTGTGACTGTGTTGATAGCAGAAGAAGTGGTGCAACGATCGTGTTAATTTGTTAGACATACCACTGCGGGTACCTGCCCGGGCACGAGAGTCTGACCCGGCGTAAGGCCCTGCTGAATCTGCTGCATCAGCGCGTTTTTCAGCGCTAAATGATTGCGCCCGTTTATCAAGAGTTGGTCCTTCAGATGCTGTGGGGGATGGAAATACTTGCAAGGTGGCTTCTCTCGATTACACCGACCCTGAAAAAAAAAATGCAGAAAATCAGTTTACTACAGCTATTACTTTTTAAATAAATCAATTTACTACAGCTATTATTTTTTAAATAATTATAATTTTTTTTATTGATAAGTCGGAGTCAAGTTATTTTGAACATTATATTATGTAGCATACGTTAAATTTCTTCCTAGTTTGCTTCCATCAAATAATGCGAAATTATCTAGCGTTGCTTTAACAATTAATATTGAAAGCTGGATATCGACTATTTATAATATGTATTAATGAAATTGGACGAGAGATTGTATAATATAATACTCGATATTCATTGTCCTCGCGAACATAATGATCGGTGAGATATTTGATATCATTCGTATCAACAATTCTACATGATACGATATATAATAACGCGGATACTATTTTCGCGACGCCATATATATGATTCATAATATTCTTGTAGAATACAATATATATCAGACACAATGTTGTCTTCAGTAAAACAATGTGTAATACAAGCTTTCTTCTATAAGTTGGCTATGAAAAAAACATTTGCATATAAGTTATAGTCTATGATATGATATGCTAATATCAAAAAAATCCTTATTATACACCCTTCATATCGGATTTTCGTTCTCTCTCTCTCTCTCTTTGTTTCTCCTTTTTTCTCTCTCTTACTCAACCTCTCCCTTTCATAATTTGGATGTTGGGACGAACTGTAACGCGGTTTATGAGGTAAGTTGAGGGTGCAAGGTTGGAATACGGAAGTGGCACGAAGGCGGGAAAGTGGAAGGAGCATCGTCGAGAGTGCCGAGTTGGGCCTCGGAAAGAGGCTCGTGGCGGAGAAACGGAAACCCGCGGGAAATGAAGGAAGGAAGGGTAGGCGGGGCAAGAAGAGGTCGCGCTTGGTGTCGTGGTGGTACTAATTAAACCTTAACAATATTAGTTCAGGTAAGATGTCTATATAGAACCGGGTGGTAGCCACCGCCAGCCGCCTGTGCTTTCTTACGAAAATCCAGTGGTTTTCGGTAATAGCGGCTTGCGAGCGTAAACTCCGTCAGAGACAGAGGGGTTGCGTCAGTTGGATGGCCAAGGAAAAGCGGTAGGTCGTGCTGGTGGTAACGTCGGCGGGACGAACGCTCAAATATCGCCTAATTAAGCACATTCGAGAGTTTCGAGGAATAATGTGTAGGTACCCGCCACGAGAAAGTTTCGACCCATTGAGAGGAAACGCTCCATCCTCTTCATCGTCTTCGCCGCCGTTCTCCGCGCCGTCGTCGCGCTCTCCTGAAGCCAACCTCTCGTTGACACGGAGCGGTTTGAGCTCGACTAATTGCATGAGACAAGATTCGAGCGTTTGCTCTTGCACAAGGCAACATGGCAGGTATATACGCGTATCAATGTCTGCGGAAGTTTTGGCGTTGATAACATTTATTGTTTCTCAAGAATGATTTTTTTTGCATGTCTATTCTGCTTTTATTTTTTGTAATTAACTACTTTGAAGTGTACTTAATATTTTTGATATAATTAAATCAAAGTAATTCTTTAAGCTAGCCAGATAAAGGTCCTCATTTTCTGTATAAATCTGACATTAAAGATACACCAGAAATATACAAATATCAAGGAAATCCAAAATAGGTACAAACATATAAAAGAAAATAAATGAATTCGAGAACAAACAAAATAATATCCAATATTTAAAAAATTTAAAAAGTTAAACGTGCATTTCAAGAATTTAAAGAAAAAATAGTCCCTCAATAAATATATATACTCATATAGTAATAATCAGTAGTAATTTGTTCATCAAATACGCCAATAAATATCGTAATAATGAACATAAATATGATTTTGGGATGCTTAAACTGTACATTCTAGATGGTGCCAACTAGTGAGCGCAGTATTAAAGTTGATTTAAAGGGGCTACTGATAAGAAACAGCATTCTCCGGGGAGCTATGCGAAACGCTCCCCTCTAATTTTAATGAAACTTTAATGATATTTAGAGGATCCCTGGAAACGGATAGCTTCTCGTAAATTTCATACATAATGATGTAATATCTCACAAATCTTTTAAGGACCGAATTGTTTCATCCTTAAATAAATGTAAATATAATGCAAAAATAATAAAATTTATATCGTTCTAGACACTCTTTAAAAATCAGAATTATCAAACGTAATTGTGTGTTTCTCGCTAAGAATAAATACATTAAAATCAATTCACAATTTCGAGAAAGATATCGCGTACAATAATTATTGTCAAACTACAAATTCCAAACACAAACTATTAAATTTTAAACATATTTATATTTAATTATGATATAAAATTATGTGCACTGATATCTGAACATAGTCCTTATTTTATTCTTTAACATACGCATTAAATGTGAAATTACGAAATGTATAATCATAATAAAAATTGCAATATTCAGTTAAATTATTTTTTTCAATAATAAACATTAAAAATGTATCATCGAATAATGTACGCAATTATCAAGAAAATTTATTCACTATAAATAATTACAATTAATAATACTATAATAAATATAAAATAATATAATACTGATATCTTAGATTCAGACAAAGCTGTTATAAAAACAGCAATTTGACATTTTAAGTAACCAAGTAATTTATGACATTAATAGATACTCGTATGTTGCGAAAATTTATACAATACATAGATGATATTAAAGAAATCATTCGTCTGGTTCTAAAAATATAAACTAGTTTGAACCTGATATTTGTACATCTACCTAAGATAATAAGTAATATTCAATTTCATGTTATCCACTTAGATGAGTAGCCTAACATAAGGCAGCACACAAAGAAAGCTTTATTTTCACGCTGCCGATTCGTAGAAGGCTTATTACGTCCTGAAACGAAGCAATAACTTCTGAGTCACGTAGTAATAAATTTGACTCGTTTTAAAGTTAAGTATATATAACATTAGACAAACATATAGCTCAACTGTGTTCCCCCAAATTATATATTGTTTTCTTAATTCAAGGTTTGTATAGAATAATTATAGATTTCTGTAGATCTAAATTTGAAGTTGAATGATCTTCCTAAAAATCTTTTATAGAGATAAACCTCGAGATAAACAAATTCATTATTGTTATATGTCAATTTAATTACTGTATATATTATGCAAAAGTATCTAAATTAAAATAATTATTGTTAAAGTAATTATAAAAAGCGTACTTTTAATGTTATCCTTTAGAGCTATTTTTTGTTATTAAATTTCTATATATTCATTCATAAAAATTATGATATTTATACAACTATCCGTATAATTATATCATATAAATTCAATAAAATATAATACAATTTCTGCAAATATAATTTTTTGTTATAAATGGAAGGAATATGAAGCGTATTGAAAAGATTAGAAAGTGAAAAAAATTTAATCAATACAAAGACAATAAATAATCTTCAGCGGTTCGTCTCTTAATAACTCATCGGTGTGAAACGAGCAGGTGTGGTAAAGTCAAAAAATGCTTCCAGTCGACTCGTACGAGCGCAACGGGGAAACTCTATGCCTTCATTGTTTCAGTCTTCCGGCATTACAAAAGAACCGTCGTGGATGGAGGCGGTTGGAGGCTCGAAACCGACTCAATTACAGTCGCTGAGCGACGCGATAATTGGGATCAAGATTGATTGTCTTCCTTCCTTTCGCGCTGACCTCCCAACAAATACAAGCTACTACTAGAGACGTACATTTTCTTTTCTCCCGTCTCACATAAATAAACCAGCACAGAAAACAAAACGTTTCGTCCAGACCGAATACGGCTCTAATCAAAATTTTTTTGTTATTTTGCGATCAACTTTAGCATGAAGTGAACCTATATATTTTAAGAATTAAATATTCTGCAACAGAATTAGAATTAAATCAATGTATTATATGTTATGATAATGAATATCAAAAAGAGATTTTATTTTGACCTAAAGATAAATTAAAATATAATCATCAAGTTCATTAATTGATCTGTTCCACAATTACGAATGCACAAAATTCCATTTCAAAATTTTAATAAATATAGCTTAAAAATGAATTAAGATTTTATCGACAAGACGGATCCATTGATATTACATCATAGTTATATCGTACAAAACGACATACTTGTTTGATGTTAGCGTTATCCATTGGAGCCGAGCGATATAAAAAATTTTATTGGCATCAATATCCGGCTCAAAATTACGAGGATCACATATAAAAAGTACGACAGTAAACCACGCGATAATAATTCGTCGTCGCGTGAGAGCACTTGGATCGTTTTCCCCATCTAGCTGCGCGGAAAAAAACGCAAAGACATCCGCGAAAACGACTCGACGACGGGGCGCAAGAGGGAAAAAGCAAGAGGGTGGTGCTATAGGCAGGCTTGCAGGATGGTTGCTCACTTCATGGCGGCGGGAGGTCGATGTCGAGCAACCTTTTTCACCTCGATAAAGCCCTGTCGTCGAAGGTGGCCGACGAACACGATCCTTCAGACCCGGGCTAACCCCGTTTTATAACCTCTCACCCATCTACCCCCGTCAACCCCCTCTGTCGCAGTCCTGCTGCGCAACGAGCAACGAGAGCACGCCGAGAGGGAAAGAACGTGTTCTCGCTGCTGAAATGAGCATCGCAGACAGAATGATAGAGAGAAACTATGCAGACTGAGAGGGAGAGAAAGAAAGAAAGTGGAGAGAAAGAAATTGGGTGGATAAGAGGTGCGAAAGGGGCGACGGTGTCAACGGGTGTATGCCATCCGCCCGTTGAGCCGTTGCAAGGGCTGCAGGACGGGTGAGCAAGATTACTAGGATTTGCGCGTAGATTTGCATATCGATTTTCCCGGTGGAACAGTGTCGTACGGCCGTGAGGATACGGCCCGCACACGATTTGCCTTAATTTCGCTATGGGAGATATCTGCCACATTAGCCCGATGGTTGCAGCTTAAGCGCGGCTGTTTCACGACACGGCAATACTGTTTCGGATCGCACAGCTCGAAATTACCAGTGGTAACTTTCAAAAAAAACACGAGTTTACATTTGGTG